TCGAACAGCTTTCCGCCGAGTCGTGGGCCGACATCATCAAGGGCAAGGACCAGGGAATTTCGACGAAGATCCTGTAAACTAGAAACATGCCGAATTATGTTGGGGATCCTGTGTTTTGAAAAACTACCGCCTGTTCGTTTGAAATGTTTGCATTCCCGCAAGTACTTAGCATTATAGGCAATGAGACAGGTAGATAGAAATAAAGGTATATACATATTCAGACACAGATATAGATGGGTATAGCTATAGATGTAGATAGATATAGATAGTTATAGGTAGATATAAACAGATGTAGACAGATATGGATAGATAGATAGATCGATAGATCGATAGATAGATAGATAGATAGGTAGATAGGTAGGTAGATGGATAGGATAGGTTGCGGGACGGATAGATAGATCGATAGGTAGATTGACAGACAGGTGTTTATCTGGCACCCTCTTTTTTTTGCGTGTGTGCCTATAATTTTGCTTATCTATGTCAAAATTGTGTCGCGTAGTGGCATATTACCTCGGGCTTCTGAGGCCCTTATCCCAGCGAGCCACACTGCTTTGCGAAATGGCTGTTCTGTAGGTCTGTAGGTGTGACTAAACGGCTTACTACCATACCCACCGCAGTATGATGCAATAGTAGACGGCCGCCCGCTCTGAAGACCCTGAACATGTAACCAAAAGCGTAATTGAAGTCCACCATCCATAAAAACCTTGAAAAGTCTGAAGTAATCTAAAGCCCTTCCAGTCTCCCAAAAAAGCATTTCAACATTCTAACAAACACTCACTTCAAACGAGCCCTTAATAAGGACCGGTTTGGATAGATCGGTAAACAGCAATCCCTTGAAGACAAAGCCCCCCAACAAATTCCGGTGATGGAATTGAAATGTTTGCTTGCAACCTTCCTGCCAGATCCTCTGATCTTGCAAGTAAACCAGAGAGAGTCTTGTAAGACTTTTTAGTCCGCTGTTACTCGCAGGAAGAGGCCGCCCTTGCCTGGATCGCAGCAAACTACCTGCGGGGCAGCTTCGACGTGGCCGCGGAGCTGGAGAAGTACGGCAGTTTCTGCTGCGCAGAGAGAGAGGGAGACAAAGAGAGCGAGAGAGAGTAGAGAGTAGAGAGAGAGAAACAGAGAGAGAGAGAGAGAGAGAGAGAGAGCGGGAGAGAGAGAGAGAGAGAGCCGGAGCCACGGCGGGGAAGAGCAGGGACAGAGCGGGTGAGGGTTCAAGGATTGAAGGACATGTTGGTATTGTTTCAGAGTTCAGGGATGTGGGCGTCACCGGGTTTTCAGCCTTGAGGTGGCAACCGCGAGGCCCCCGGGTGACAGGTCTCAGCTGATTTAAGCTTTCGCATATGGTACCAATTGGTCTCATATACCCCAAACCTTACACTGATCAGTCAGGCCCCTATACTATGGAACCCTATTGTAGAATCCTTCGAAAGGAACCCTTTATAGAACGGAAGCGTAGTCTAAGTATTCGGACCGGTATAACCCCTGTGTTGAAGCACTCGGGCTTCAGCCTTGGTACGAGGTGCACTTTTCCTTCATGAGTAAAGTATGGGTGTTCATGTACATTGCATAAAAAGCTGCATGCCCAGTCTCATCCATCAAGAGGTTCGGGTCGGCATACGCACACTGAGGATTCGGACGTCCCATCCATGGGCGTGATCGAGATGGGGGGCGGGTCAACTCAGGCAGGATATGCCAGGGTTTCAAATCCAGGCCGAAGAAGGGCAAGAAGAATCGCGGAAGACAATCGGAAGACGGGGGTTTGAGATTTGAGTTGCTTTTGGCTTGAGCATTCGGGCTTGGGATTTTGGGAGCCCAACGTCCTAGCGTGAGAGCGAATCACCAGGTGACCTTCGAAGTGGGGCTCGAAGAGTTCGCATCTTGGCCTTCGCTTGAAGCCACGACCCGTCGGTTCTCGGTATGGGGGTTGAAGGGTGGGTTTCGGGCCGCCAGCAGAAGGAGAGTAGAACAAGGCCTCATCGCACGACATGGGATTCCAAATATAGGGCTCATACGATGGCCCATGCAAGAGTTCTCATTGAGTAGTCGTGTCTTTCTGAGTCTATGCATAGTATTGAAAGTAGCTCATCCTCTCAAACCTGAAGCTATGGCTTTAACCCGATCTTTCCAAGTTTATGCGTGGAAAGCCCTTGACGTCAGGAACGGGTTGCTGAAGTCGATCGGTTCCAGTTCAAGACAGGGATGGGTCGCGCCGCCGGCTCAGTACTGCGCAAGCCCCGCCTTCAGTTTCCGTAGCAGGAGCAGATAATTAATATGCGGATGTCCATCTGCCAACTGGAATCGTCCTTGTACTAGGGAGTGCGTGTTATGTGTTCTATATGGGAGTTTCCAAAAATTAGGGTACCTTATTTTGGGGTCCTTATAGTAAGGGTCCTACTATTTAGGGTACTATATTAGGGTCCCCTATTCTCGGAAACTCCCATATCTCAAAAGCAGGAAACGGTATGTGGACTGTGGTCTGTTCACATGCGAACCCAAGCAGGCTCGGAATGACGGAGAGCGATCCTGTCCTCAACGTCCTAAACATGGTACCCACCAGAGACTCCAACATCCCTTAATTAAGGAATATACCTTAAATCATATTAAGGATCCTACTATAATTTAAGAATATTCCTTAATTAAGGAATATTGGAGTCTCTGGGTACACCAGGAGCACTGGGCAGGCACACATAAATCCATGCATACAGACCTACAGATACATACATACACACGTACGTACGTACAGATTCACTCGCTTATTTACTTACGTATGTACGTACTTGTTTGCTTCCTTTCCGACTCACAGGCTTACTTGCCTAGATAGTTGCTTGTTTACGTGTGTACATATGTGTATGTACGTGTATATATATATATATATATACGTGCATGCATATTAATTTGCGTGTAATGTAATGTAATGAAATGTGATGTAATGTAATGTAATGTAATGTAATGTAATGTAATGTAATGTAATGTAATGTAATGTAATGTGATGTAATGTGATGTAATGTGATGTAATGTAATGTAATGTAATGTAATGTAATGTAATGTAATGTAATGTAATGTAAGATAACGTAATGTAATGTAATGCAGTCTAATGTAGTGTAATATAATGTAATGTAAGATA